TATACAGACACGACATATAAAAACGAACACACATACACGCGCACACACAGACACAGACACAGACACAGACACAGACACAGACACAGACACAGACATATATATATACATACATTAATATATATATATATATATGGATACATTAGAAGATTGTGATGATGTATACAGTATTGGTCTACTTCACACACTGAGATTAGGCACTCTCGTAGAAACAATCAAATGAGAGATGATATGATTCAAAGTCGGATATGTAAAGGTCGAAACGATTCGGTTACTGGAATATAAACACAATACATATATTATACTGTGAGACGACCACAACTATAAAACGATCTCAAACAATGCGATCTTTCTCAAGCCCTGTTCTTTGCTAGTGATCGTGCATACGTAGACATAGGCAGTTGAAAAAAAATCGAGACAAGTATAGGGGTCCGTCAAATGCGGAAACCTCACGTGAAGTTGTAAAGTATGCAAAAGAGTCATACCTTCCCTAGGTGTCAGTGACATGTCGACGCCTGTGCCTATATATCGGGCTGTTTCTAGTTTTTTAGTCTATTTTTACTGGCGCATCAATAATTCTGTGCGTTGCTTAGCTATAGGGTGTCTACTTAACTACAAGTCTAACGCGAACGTATGTATACGCTTGTTTACTATACGTATACACATTATATGATATAAATAAATACCTTCCCTTGCGAAGATAAATATTCACGATGAAGTGTATCTATGGAATTCTGTTGAAATGTCAAAAGTCAAAACTTAAAGACCACAAAATGATGACACACCAAGGTGACGGCATACGGCAATGCAATGCACAGTGCATATATATAGATATATATTAGCCAACTGATTACATTATATATATTTATATGTATACATATGTAAATATATATGTTTATATTGTTTTTTGTAGAAAAAAATGGTACGCACTGTAAGGTGCCATCGCAAAGTATCCCTTCTCCGGTAAGATCCCGTGATGTTCACAGCCTTCTGTATGATTCAGAAGACTCTGCCATGTGTTTATGAACTGATTTATACCACTAGTCTCTACTAGACCCAATATGACTAGGCCTATCGGGATTTCCCATTGTACCTGTTCAGGGCTCTGGAGGTCTGGGAGTGTTCCTTATTATCCCAAAACATCTTTTGGCGGTGTGTGTGGTGCGAATAGGTTAAGAACACCATTGCACTGTCCGCCTTTATTAGAGAGGTCGTTTCTACACCAAGATTATTCCACAAGTAGGAAAGTGACGAAGCGAAGCACAAGCACAAACACCAAAGCAAAAGTCAATACAATTAATAGTAGTAAAAGCACCGGGAAAGGTAGTACAGGCTGTTCCAAACAAGGCAACAATGTCACATCCAAAGGAAAGAGACCTACAGGCTCCTCTGCACAATGGATTAAACGGCAACTCGCTGATCCCTGGGCCAAATTAGCGGCAGACAGTCACTATGCGAGTAGAAGTGCATTTAAACTGCAGCAGATTGACGATAAACATCGGTTCCTAAAGCCGGGCAGGACTGTGGTAAGCGTACACACTTTAAACTATCGTACGCTTGATCAATTATGTAGTTTATGTTTAGTTGGAGTTCAATCTCAGAGTGCAAGAACGAAGATTTAGGGCCTGATTCAATAGTCATGGAGAGTGGCAACAGCAAAACTTGGGTTGTTTCTCGTCCCGATGTTGGCGTACAACTGCTTTTGTATACGGCTTTAAGCGCGTGCGAAGTGCAGCCAGCCTGTTGCTGTAGCAATACGGGGTCGGATCGAAGCCTTTTCTATCCTATCATGATACTTTGGAATTATGTGATAGTGTACAATTGTATAGATAGCAGAAAAATTCTTACAGCAGACTGCTCTCAGACATCAAACGCTTCCTAGGATGGCATCGTCAAGGAAAATGCTCACATATATTAGTGTGCTATAACGTGACTCGCCCCTTTGATTGACAGAAATACACACATAGAGGTAGTGTAACAAAGGCTTGTTTCTTTTATCAGATATATACACACCCACGTTACTACACAATAACAGAGGGTGGCCCCCTATGTGAACAGATATATATACACAGACACCTTTACTACACTGCAGTTTGCCCATGACATTTTGAAGTACACACACATGTGCGCTCACTATAACTGAGCTTTCATTCTTTATTGACAGATAGACTGTGGCGCTCGACCCGGGGGGTGGTCACAAGTGTCCGTGGAACGATGCTGCAGACCACCGAAGAATCGGAGTGTGAAAAACTTTGTGCCTGGTGTAGTCATCAGCGTCGATATATGCGGTATGGGACTAATTTTCAGAGGTGTATGACAGTACAGTTATAGGCCTCATTGTACGATGATTGTATAATATACATGTATGTCCCTACCTGTACGGTATTAGGTAATCTATGATATTTAAAACAAGCGAGATAAAAGCAGTTATATGGATGTGAAATTGCACCGAATATATATATATATATATATATATATAATACTACACACACACACACATATATATATATATATAGTGACACACAACAACACAACAACAACACACACACACACACACACACACACACACACACAC